ATTGGGACTGATTAGAACGCTTAGATGGTCCTTAGGTTAAGATAAACTTTATGAAATTCCAGCTTCATCCTTTCTGTGGCTACTGAGTTGAGCATGAGTAACAAAAACCCGAAAACACACATTATACACCACAACCTTTCGACAATATGCATTTTCGCACTTGCGCAAAGATGGAAAAATGCTCAGAAAGGAAAAGGATAAAATCATTCATAAATTATCTATTACAGCGCAACAAACGCGTAAGTTCATGAATAAACAATCTATGTTTGCCATTCCTACTAAGTGCAGATAAGAAGCTGAACAACGGAAAGTTTGGCCCGAATACAGAAACACTGAATGCTTTTGCGGTAAGGCCTTGGACCTGCTGCCAGTTGTGAAAAAATGTGAGCTCTGCCGAAGCAAAAAGGCGCGGAAAAAATACTACAAAAAGAGTGCAGTAAACAGATAAACTTTAGAAAGTGAAAAAATGCATGTCGTATGATTTTTGAGATATACCACAAAACTACAGATTTAAGCAGCACAAGTGTTTGTTCCAGTATTAGATTGTTGTCAATGAAGTTAAAAATTTTTTCTCACGAAAGGCAATACATCAGTTTTTTGATTTTAATGATCAGGCAAAACGAAAAAATTACCAAAGAAGAACGTCTGAAACAATGTAAACAGCACTTTTATAATTCCAATAGAACTTACCGAACACTGCCCAGACACATCGCTTCCTTATCTGCATGTCGCTTACAATTTAAATACCTTCTCTCTTCAGCTTCAACGTCACATTCGTCAAACCTGAGATAGGATGAATTTCAAAGGAAAAAGGAAATTTCGAAAAAAAACCTCAAAAATTCCAGTCCTTAATCAAACAACAGAATAAAAAATACTTCACGCAGAAAAACAAGCATACTCAGTGTTTCTCAAAATTAAACTACGTTAAGCGCTAGGAACTGAGCTCGACAGCACATTAGGACCATGCAGATCTGTCAGTCTTATGTATAGATAAAATACCTGAAAGCTGGATTTTGCGGGAAAAACTATAGACGGGGAAAAATAAACCTACTTTTTCGCAGAAGTGGCGCTATCCGTGAGCTCTGGATCGGCTGTTCCTTCCGCATGGTCAGCTAGCAAGCCCAATCTGAAATCACCAAAAACTTATCAAACAGAACCTTTCAGAACGTTGAAAAATGAATTTCAAAATTTCTTCCGTCGATTTTTTCACAGATTTGATTTTAACGGCTTTTCGTATTCAGAAAAAAAAAAGATTTAGGGATCCAAGTTCAAATCAAAGTACCTCTGCGCACATGTGACATGAAAATGATTTTTGCATAAACCCGCATCACACTGAACCGCGATACCCGTACGTGTTTGAAGTGGATCCGAGCATGCTACACATATCTGGAATATTATTATAGTGCTCAGAATAATTCAGAGATATCAAACTATTGTTTCGCAATAAAATCATTAAGCGTTAGAAAAAAGCGTTACGATGACGTTAAATCATTAGATGAGCACCAACGCTGAATCAGTAGAAAAACATTTAATATTATACCATAAAAGTGGTAAACAGATATATATTAAAACACAGATGTATTACAACACTGCGTCGTTACGGGAGATTTATAAAGTGAGATTCAGTTTCACTTCAAGAGAATTAACTGTGTAAACAAAAATCGAATGGAGATTCCCACATTCGAAAATAAAATTAATAACTCGAAACATACTCGTTTTCCAAATGATTTATAATCGATTTCTTGCCAACTAACGCCTGTCAGGCGATTCAAATCGCTGAATGTTACGCCTGGCGTATAGAGAGCACACAGCAAATGAACCCAACCACCACCAATATCTAAAACAAATTTTCGGTTTCAGAACCCTTCGTCTTCTTCTTTTGCTATGAAAGAAGAAGTTACTGCGAGAAATGGCGCTATCATCAATTGCAGCCAGCAAAATCGCTAGCGAAGTTATTCCAACAGTCGAAATGTCAAGAAATGCTTAGGGATCATGCTGGAAATATGAAGAATACCCGCCACGTACGATGCACCACCCAGATTCCGAATGACCCAATGAGCTAGTCATCACTTTTCACATTCAAAATCGATAAAAAAGCTCATTGAGTTTTAAAACGAAATAACTTGCAAACACATGTCAAACAAATACAGTCTACCCAAAAAAATTCAAAATTTGATCGACGAGGCAAAAAAAACCAAGGACTCGGTGCGAGGGGGCATAATATGCTGAAATTAATGAAATAGATCTAAAGAGGCAACAATTAAATCTTTATAAGAATAAGCAAATCGTGTGTTTTCGTTCGCATGGTGCAAAATATGTGGTACTAGCCAATCTGCCTGGAGAAGTTTCTCATCAGCATGCCTGAGTCATGTCTCATGGCTAGATTAATTTCCAAAAAATTCATTAATTTGCTAAGCATTTGAGAAAACGATTACCAACAAACACGATTTTCACTCATAAATTAATTGCGGATTGGTTGAACTCCGAAATTTTGCTCAAAAATACGAAAAAATAAATCACCAAAAAAAAAATTACCTGCTCGTTTGAAAGCACCATAACGATTTGGGCATAATTCGCAGTAGGGCGGTTCTTTGAGTCCGTACAAACATGGTTCACAAAAAAACTGAGCACTGGATGTATTCGAACCACCGCTGCCTTCATCAGTCAGAGTTTCTGGGACGTAACACTTCTCATGAAATGCTATTTGACATCTGCAATGTTGCACGCATGAAAGGCCTAACGCAAGCCACTGGAAAAGCTAGCTCAAAGCCACTTCCCCACAAACTTCACTCAAGAAGTACAACCACCAACGCTTCGCGAGTGATACAATTCTCACGGCGAAAACAATACTGGTAAAGAAAACAAAATGCTGTACAAGCTGGATAGCAAATCTGCGTCTATATTTATTCCCAGTGAGAGGCAGAAGCACTCAAAAAATAGCCCAAATGGTAACGGATGCCAGCTACAAGCAAGCTGATGGCGGATTTGTCTTCCTGGTATATAGCAGCACAAATATAAAAGGCACTGGCTGTCCCATCAGTGGAATCGAAGCTTCGATCTGCTGTACGACAACAATACTAATTCACTAAGCAATGTCTGATAGCTAAAGGACGTACAAAGTGAAGAATTAGGCTCAGAAATGAATGCTTTGGAGTGAAAGGTCACG